CGCTCAGGGCACACACAGGTTCCAATCCCTCTCTTCCCGTCTGCCCTCGAGGATCCGGATCTAGCCCCCTCCTCCTCCCTCCCCTCCGCACAGCGCGGTGCCGCCGGTGCGGCGGCGGATGTTTGATGACGTCTGTTGCTGACACTTACCATCTTCTTTTCTTTTTTCATCAGGTGCCAAATTCCCCAAATCAGAGACAGTGAGCCGCCGCCGATGCACGGATGCATTCATCAGACAATTGCGGGGAACAGACATCGGGCCCTGCTCATGCAACCAATTTCGAACGAGTATGTATAGCCACCAATAAATTTGCCTGGGGATTTTCTTGCATATCGCTGAAAATCTTGGACTGTATGAGCGTGTACCTAACCACAGGTGGAAATGAACTTTCACGAAATTGGTGCAGGTTGTGATGACCTATCAGGACAGGGCCGTAGAACCGAGCCACTCAGGAGAAGGGCTGCGAGTGGAAAAGGTATCCTTCGACGCATCTGCTTTACAATGTGCATTCCTCCGTTGATGATATACTACAAGAAAAATATCCACCTATCAGAATCAAATGGTGAATTGCTCTCACATGACAGTAAAATTGATGGGAAAGCAATGTCATTCGCAGTTAACTGATTACAGTATTCAGCGCCATTACTGTGTTTTCCTTCTGTGGTTGAACTTCTGCTCAGCACCCGTAGTTGGTAACATTATGGGTTTCTGGTGGTAGAAACCGGGGAGGGCCTAGGCTTTGACACCTTTCCCTTAAAAACATCATTACTGTACTGACTATATCTTTTAGAATGCCCTCATGCCTGGTTTGACTAGGAAATAAATGGTTACTTACACAGGAACACGCTGGCAAACAAGCAAACCCGGAAGGAAGTCAACAGCCGATTGGTGAAATTAATCAGGTATGGAAACCAAACGAAACATGACAAGTACCGCTCTGTCAAACAAGTGGAATTCAGTACTGCATTACATTGTGGCTTAACAGAGATTGTTCTCTTGCCTGCAGGAAAATGCATCAAATGGCATTGGCACAACTGTGCAAGGACTGTTGGCAGATATGTTGCATAAGCAAACCAACTCGGTGGACCCTACAGTGCAGCACGCTGAAGAACAAGACCAGTTACACGATGTTACAGAAGGGCATGAATTGTGTAGCAATGATACAAGCAGTGGAAGTGATGCAGGTAGCAGCTCTGGGAGCGAGTTGGATACTGAACTAGGAAAATGCTATTACCCTAGTATCGAGGCATTGGAGAATTCAAGACCGCCGGAAGTTGGCATGAAATTTCCTACCCTTGAAGATGCAGAACGTTTCTATAGCACACATGCTATGCTAACTGGTTTTGCAGCAAGGAGGGGAACTAATTACAAGAGAAAGAAGTTTCACCTACTATGCAACAGAAGTGGTAAATTAAAGCCAACTCAGGACCTGCAGAGGAAGAGGAAGGTTAATGTTTTGGGCTCACAGTGCCAAGCAAAGGTGATAGTGAAGCTCCATAACGAGCAATGGGAGTTCACAGGAGTTAAGCACGAGCACAACCATCCACTATGTCCATCCCCATCGCTCACGAGTTTCTTTTTGGATCATAAATACTTGTCAAGTGAAGAAAAGTTATTTCTAAGAGTTCTGCAACAAAGTAGGGTAAATCCAAGGAAAGCTATGAATATTTTCCAGAGAATGAGAAGCAACTTTGGAAATGTATCATCATCAAACGAGAAAGATATGAGCAATTCACAGTGTGTAGACCAATGGAGAAAAGAAAATTCAGATGTTGAAACCGCACTGAAGCGCTTCAAAGAACTGGAGCTGCGGAACCTAGGATTTTCCTACACCATGCAAAAAGATGAAGATAACATAGTTAGGAGTCTTTTCTGGACTGATGCAAGGTCGAAAGTAGATTATGAGATTTTTGGAGATTTCATATCATTTAGCACTTCCTATAGCACTAATAGGCATAATATGCCTTTCACCCCTATCATTGGAGTGAATAATCATGGGCGAATCCTTGTGTTTGGATGTGCCTTGCTACAAGATCAGAAAGCTGAAACCTTCAAATGGATGTTCCAAACTTTCTTGCATGTGATGAGAGGGAAACTGCCAAAAACAATCATAATAGACCAGGATGAAGGTATGGTGAAAGCAATTGCAGAGGTCATGCCACAGGTAAGGCACAGGCTTTGCAAGTTCAGTGTGATGCGAAAAGCACAGGAAATGCTAGGAGCCTTCATGGCAGCAAGGGGCAACATGAATGCAGAGCTGCACAGCTTGGTAGACAACTCACTGACAGAAAAGGAATTTGAAGAGGGATGGGCTGTGCTCATTGAGAGATATGATGCAAGTGAAAACGAGTACCTCCGGCTCATGTGGAAAACAAGGAAAAACTGGGTGCCTGTTTATTTCCAGGCAGATTTCTACCCATTCGTCGAGTCAGCTGAACATGGTGAGGGGTCAAACTTATTATTCAAAGACAATGTGCTTCCTAAGGACAGAATCGAGAAGTTTATCGAGCAATATGAGAGGATACAGGAGGGCATAGTAAAAACAGAGGAAGAGGATACATTGCAGTCAGCAACTGAACCAGCATACTTCTCCATGCAGCCAATAGAAAAGCATGCAGCGCGTATATACACAAGGCAAATATTTCTGAGAGTGCAGAAAGAGCTATACTATTCTACGGCACTCAATGCACATGAGATACAAGGTGGAGCAGCGTATAGACTCGAAAAGGTCTTCGACTACGAGAACCCTGAGTTTGACAGAAACTCTTTTGAAGTGCTAGTTGACCCTGGCACCCACACATTCAAGTGCCAATGCGCAAAGTTTACCAGGGATGGGATTTTATGCTGCCACATATTCAGAGTTTTCACACAGCTTGGAGTCATCGAAATACCAGCGCAGTACATAGTGCCCAGATGGGCCCGAGAATTCAGAGAGGAACGGCTGAAAGAGTACGAGGAGAAATGCTCGAAGAGAACAGAAGAGAGAAAGAGATGTGTGATGCTATTAGGTAAAATGGCCGACATCGGCAAGGGGATATGCGCGGACAGTGCGAAAAGCGGCTGCTTCATGCTCGAACTAGACAAGGTTCAAGAGAAGTTGGTGGGTGCCGATGGTCAGATCGTATTGTGGAGCAAATGAGAGTTGGCGAGTTTGGTTCACAGATGTCTTTATCCTGGGACGAAGTAGAATAGTCAGCATGTTCAATTTAGCGTATGATAGAGGTAAGATTCCAGGAAATGTAGGGTAGTCTTGTGAGACTCGATAGTGATGAGGATTGGATACCTCTGATCATCCAACATTTTTGCCTGCTATGTGGTTTCTTCTGTTCCTCCTCTTATATGACAGCACATTCTGTCGAGTTCAGGTCGTGTATCCTGGTTGTGGCCATTATCGAGGAACTTGATAAAATGGCATTCTTTTCTTTGGCGCTTGAAGATTCAGGAGCAACACTTTCCTTTGCTTAGATAAAATGGCACGCATTTGGTTGGCAATTAGATCAAATGTTTTTTTCCTGCATTTTGAGGTCTGGGTCCACATGTCAGCTATTTTGTATGAAATTGCACCTCCTGTCAGCAATAGTGCCAGCCAATCACAAGGCAGCCCGGTCCTACCACAAAGAAGTAAAAAAAAAAATCTCTTGAATTGTGTAACAGACTAACAGTGGTCCTCCTTCTGAATGCATAATAGCATGGGTGCATTGCTTTGGAAAGTTGCTATGACAGCAGGAATCCCTACTTCACCAGCAAGGGCTGCTGTGAAAGTTGCAAAGAAGATTCGCTCCAAAGAAGAGGCAAATAGTCTAAAATGTCATTTTGAAGCTTGGGATGATCACACTTTTGGTCTGAATTTGTG